GTTTGTTTTTTAGCTACCTATACCAATTAGCTATTATCACATAAGTGCCATATAGCTAACCATATCAAAACTCAGTGACACAAAACAACATTTATTCTCATAAATCTGTGGGTTTACTGGGGTCAGCATTCTAAACTGGGATTGGCTAGAGGGTTTGGGGCTGCTCCATCTGTCTCTCACCCGTCCTGGGACAGGGCAAGAAGACAAGCACCGTTTTGCAACTGTTTTTTATGTCTTTGGGTCACATCATGTCTGTCAACATTCCAGTGGCCAAAGCAAGTCCTAGGGCCAAGCCCAAAGTACATTCTGTCTGTAGAGGTGGTGGTAGGAAGGGAGTAAAGATTTCTAAACAATGACACATTACATTAATTAATTTTCTAATGTTAAACTGACTGCGTTTATGGAATAAACCTAACTTGATCCTGATGTGTTTCCTCTCCTCCCTCCCTCCTTTTTTCCGTAACATTAGATTTTTGGTTACTTTTTTTTTTTTTTTTGTATTTTACAATTTAATTTTTTATGAGCTTTATACTGAGATATAATTCACATACCATATAATTTACCCATTTAAAGGGTACAATTTCAGTGCTTTTTATTATAGTCACAGAGTTGTGCAACTGTCACCACAATCAATTGTAGAATTTACTCATTACCCCAAGACAAAACCTCATGTCCATTGGCAGTCACTCGCTATATTGCCCCAAACTCCCTTACCGTCAGCCCTAGAAAACCATGAATTCACTTTCTGAGTATATAGATTTTCCTCTTTTGGACATTTCATAATGGAATCATACAATATATGGTCTCTTGTATGTTGCCTCTTTTACTTGTTGTAACATGTATCAGTACTTCATTCTTTTTTTATGGCTGAATAATATTCCACTGTGTAAATATACCATGTTTATTTATCTATTCATCAGTGGAAGTTTATTTGGTTGTTTCCACTTTGGGGGTGTTATAAATGATGCTCCTGTGAACAAGCACGTACAGGTTTTTGTGTGGACATATATTTTCATTGTCTCATATCCTTTTTTGCTGTTTTGTTCCTCTGTTCTTCCTTTACTACCTTCTTTGGGTTTAAATAATATTTTTTAGCATACCATTCTAGTTTTCCTGTTTTTTTTGTTTTGTTTTTTAAACATATATGTGTATTTTAGTTACTTTCTTAGTGGTTGCTCTAGGGATTACAATCTAGTCAAATTATTGAAAGCCCAACACACAATGACCTGTACCATATGTAGTTGATTTGCTTTCAAAACTCCTCTGAAGAACACCTATCCCATCATAATGCTGGAAGTAGAAGTCCTCCAATATATCATCTAACTGGTAATGCTGGCTAATAAGAGAGCTGTTCACATTTGGATATGTTTTTCATGCAATAAGCCATCTTACAGTACTCTTATTAGTTCTCATTGTTTTCCAGTGGCTTCTCAGGGTTTTACAGTTAAGCAGATACTTTTGCTTCCTTTCCAACATTTATGGTTATTACTTATTTTTTGTTTCACGCATTCTCTAGACCATCTAGAATAATGATGAATAATAAAGTTGACAGTGATCAGTCTTGTCTTGGTTCTGACTTTTATAAGATTGCCTAAAGTGAAGGAGTATCAACTCTCCTGCTGGCATCTGTCGTATGCCCATTTTCCTAGACAATATTTATCTTGCTGAGATTAGTTTAGTTTATATATAGAGTTTCACTTAATATTCTTTTAGAATTAAAAAAATCCTGTGTGCCTGTGTTAGCCACTTTCTCATGGCATTGGGTAAGGGGTGTGTGTAGTCTTTTTTCTTTTGTCTAACTGGGCTAGTAGTTTGCTTATTTTGTTGTCTTAAAAAAAACCCAAAACAACAGCTTGTGGGCCACCCGAGTGGCGTGTTGGTTAAGAGCTGGCTTGGGACGCCAGCTATGAGCAGCAGGGCCCTTGTTCGAATCCCACATGAGGGCCAGTGACACTGCCCTTTACAGCTAAGATGGTGAACAACAGCTTGACCTGGAGCTGGGCTGCCGTGAGTCCCTGGCGACAGCGTAGGCTGCAGCCCCTGTGGCAGTGGGTTGCCATGGGCTACCGTGTAGCCGGCAGCCAGTGTGAGCTGCGAAGAGCTGCCGTGAGTGGCCGTCCAGAGGCCTGCGACTGATCTGCCTCACCTGGGAAGAGCACAATGATAACACCACCATGGGCCAGTGAAGCAACATCCTCCACAGCTAGACTGAAGAACAAAAGGACAGCAACTTGTCTGGTCCCCTTCCCCAAATCCCCAATAAAATCTTTAAAAAAAACCCCACACACAACAGCTTGTATGATAGTCATTTCCGTTGTTTTCCCAATTTATTAGTTTTTGTTGTTAGCTTCATAAATTTTTTCTCCTATTTTCCTTAGCTGATGATGTTCCTCTTTTTCAGCTTCTTGAGCTGACTGCTTAGTTATTAATTTAGTTAGTTGGTTTTAGACCTGTTTATCTGGCTGCAGCCTGTTCTGCTAAAGCCATCATAGTCTGGACTATATGACCTCCTGCCCTCCCTAGGCCTGTTCACCTAAGGGTGGCCTATTCATCTGCTGTGAGGCCAGGCTTGAGAGAGATGAATGTGGTACAGACACCAGTGCTCATCTATATCTGCTTCTCCTTAGGCATATGAAAGTGTATACTTCTGAGCTGTAAAATATTAATAATTGGTAAATCTAGGTAAAGATTATATTTTTATTGCAATTTTTCTATAGGTTGTTTTTTTCCAAATTAAAAAGTTTTTAAAAAATATACCAGGGCCTTAATTCCCAGAAAAACGTGGATGGGCCAGACATGAAATTTTTTTTTTTTTAAGATTTTTATTGGGGAACTGGGGGGATGGGAACAGTGCTGGGGAATTGGGGGAAGGGGAACAGACAAGTTATTATCATTTTTTGTTCTTCAGACTAATTGTGGAGGATGTTGCTTCACTGGCCCAAGTTGGAACCATCATTGCGCTCTTCCTGGACGAGGCACATCAGTCACCGGCTTCTGGACGGCTGCTCACTGCGGCTGCTGGCCGCTCATGCTGGCTGCTGGCTACATGCGGTAGCCCATGGCAACCCACTGCCACAGGGGCTGCAGCCTATGCCGTTGCCGGCGACTCACAGCAGCCCAGCTCCAGGTTGAGCTGTTGTTCATTATCTTAGCTGTGGAGGGCAGTGTCACTGGCCCTCATATGTGGGATCTGAACCGGGGCCCTCTGGCATCCCAAGCCAGTTCTTAACCATGGCGCCACTCGGCCAGCCTTGTTGTACGTCTTTTTTAAGAGCAAAGAAGCTCCTCCCAGGACCCTCCCTAATCCTAGAAGACCTCCCCTCATACTGCCAGAATGCCACAAGCCCAGGCAAACCTATCACTAGCAAGGGGCATGGGACCACTACAATGGGCTTAGACTAATCAAGACTCACTCCTAGAGCTGGCTCCAAGCTTCCCTGAAGTTCCTGGCTGCTTGGCAGAACAAAATTAAGGTTCTGTTAGGAAGAAGGGAGATGGGGGTAGGGAATAGGTATGAGATGTGCAATCAACAGTGTCTGTTACACAACCTGAACATCCAGGTCATTAATCTTGACACATTACTGCTCTTCTGAGCTCTCCCCTCAGCTCCCAGCCACACTCTAGCATATTACCCTAAGTGTGAGCCAAGTGCCCTACAACTCTAGCTCTAAATGGCACATACCAAGGCTGCTCTTGGCAGAACAGTGAGGAACATGAAATGTATTCCTTAGGACGCAGTGCTCCTGTGCAATTCCCGAGAAGTCAGCCATGCGTGCTTGGTCAGATCAGACACTGTCACAGTCTGCGGATGAAGAGAAGAGTACAGGCTCCTGGAAGGGCGGACTGGCCTGGACCTGACTCAGCCCCTGAGCTGAGTTCTAATTATGCTCTCCACTCTCTCTGAGATCCCTTCTTCCTGGTCTGTACTTCTCTTAGAATCTGAATTGTTTCCTTAACAAATTCTAATTTGCCCCCTAGTTTTAAACCCCAACGTTACCCTCATATCTCCTTCCCTTGAACTCCCACAGTAAGAAAACCCATATCCAGTGGATTTACTAACCATTAATTGATTTCCCAAATGTGTTAGAAGCTCAGAGACAATACTAGATAATAGGGAGGGAAATTAAGTTTTAGGAGTCGTGTGCCAAGTGCTGGGGTAAGTTCTTTCACACACTCTGAGTTTATCCTTAACAGCACCTTGGTAGGTGAGATTAACCTTCACGTTAGAGATTAGGGAATTCAGGTTCAGAAGAAGTCAAGTCACCTGCTCAGAGAAGATAAGGTCAGCTCAAGGGCATTAGCTATTAGGAGCCCATGACTGCCTGACCTCACGCCCGTGCATTCCCCTACCCCTACCCCACCATTCTGGCTTCATGGTCTTTACTGTTACAAAACACATTTGCCTAAATTAATCTGAGCCTTGAAACAGTAGCAGGGTGAGTAGTAGTATCTGCATTTTATACATGATAGTGGGGTTCAGAGATACTAAATGACCTGCCGAAGTCATGTGGAGCTTAGCTTTTCCAATTCCTACACAGTACATTCTGCCACCGTGGAGTGTGCCTAGCAGAGCGCGGCATGTTCATTGAATGGATGATGGTCCAGATTGTAGGAGGTATTCAGTAACTGTCAAGCTATATTAATAAAAAAATAATGTCACTGCCTAGAGGTCTCTAGGTGGCTTTTCCCCCATCATCTCCCCCCTCTGGGCTCCCCTCAGAGGCCCTCATTTCCCAGGAACTCCATCACCTTTAACCGAGACTCCCAAAGAGCAGAGTCCACATCTCCTCAGGCAGGTGCTCAGATGAGGGCTTAAGTAAGGGTCCTGTTTTGAGATAGAGCTGAATGGACCTAACAGTTTCTGCTCTCCCATCTCCCACCTCGGGGCTTCCTTCCGTCCTGGAGTGGGGAGGCTGTTCTCAGCTTTTCCCCTGCCCCCAGGTGGCAGGACTGCATTTGTTTTGGGGTAGACAGACCTGTGAGCTACTCTCCTGTTCCACTGGCCTTGGTCCTGGCAGCCATCACTCTAGTGCCCCCTCCCCTGTCTCCTCCCTTAGCCCCGCCCCAGCCTCTGGCTGGGCCCCACAGCCCTGGACACAGTACACACAGCCCAGAGCCTCTGCTCAAAGGGAAACAAAAGGGACTGCCCAGGTTCCCATGGCTGTGGCCAGCACCTTCACACCGGGGCTGAATGCTCAGAATCCTCATTATATCCCGGGGTAAGACTTCTACCCAGCGCTCAGCCCTGCTTTCTTCTGGGAATAGGGGTGTAGGGGAACAGTTGTGCCACCTAGACCTGGGGCCAAGTGGATATACCGGTACAGGGGACCCAGGGCTGGGATATCTATGCTGTTGCATGGAAAAGGAAAAGCAAGGAATAGTGGTAGCTGGTCCTGCCACGAAGCTTTGTTTTCTTCTCCATGGTAACAGGGTAACAGCAGAGGGGAAGGACTGAAACCCAGACAGAGAATTGAGAAATGCCCGCTCCAAATATACACACAGCTGAGGCCAGAAAAGATCAGGGCTTCAGCGGTCTGCTTCTGTCTCTGCGGAGGGTGGGGCAGGGGGATTCTAGGGTGAGTGGGTGAGTCCTGTGCTATAGGTACACTGGACACTGCCCACTACTTCGGTTCAGCATGGGCCAGACCTATGGGCAGGTGACTGGCCAGCTACTTCGAGGAGCTCCTGGCTTAGCCTGGCCCCCTGCCTGTCGCATACTTCTGCCTCCCATTCGGCCTCCAAGGTCTCCTGAGGTTCCCAGGGGAAGCCTGCCAGTCAGGCGTGGCCATGAAAGGCTCAGCTCCAGCATGATCCCTGGGTACACAGGTATGTACAGGTATGAACAGGTGCCCCCATCCCAGAACACGTGTCCCAACACTAAAATAAATCTTCCTTGACTCCTGCCCATCCAGGTTTCGTCCCCCAGGCACAGTTCATCTTTGCCAAGAACTGCAGCCAGGTCTGGGCTGAGGCGCTGAATGATTTTACTCAGTGGCATGGGAAACAGGGGCGTCAGGAGCTGCCAAAGGAGGTCAAGGGAGCGGATGTGCAGAAGGACCAAGAGCCGAAGGCTGCGCCAGAGCTGGAGGCGGAGGAACCAGAGCGGGGACAGGAGGCGGGACAAGTGAGACCACGGCCGCGGGGGAGCGCGGTGGGGTTGGAGTGGGGAGCCTTACCTGTGCGTAGGCTGGGGGTGGCCATGAGCAGCATAGCTTCGGGTATAGGAATGTGGGCTCGACTGCCAGCTACACCTCCCTGCCCTGGGAGCTTGTGTCAGAGCACAGGGGCTGAACTTGATAGCCCTATTTTTCTTTGATCAACTTCCCTCCCAAGGTTTCCCCCTATTCCATGGATGACAGAGATCCTCACAAGTTCTTCATGTCAGGTGAGGGGACGTGGGCAATGACCAAAGGCATGGGAAGGCCCCTAGGGGGTCCTGACTCAGTACCCCCCTCCCCCCAGGCTTCACTGGTTATGTGCCCCGTGCCCGCTTCCTCTTCGGCTCCAGCTTTCCTGTGCTCACCAACCAGGCCCTGCAGGAATTTGGACAAATGTACTCACAGGGCAGACCCCAGAAGGGCCTCAAACATCTCCCCCCACTTTCTAGGACCTACTCTCAGAAACTGGGCCTTTTACCTAACTATGGGGGCTATGTGCCAGGTGAGGAGCGCCCCAGAGGGAGGCTTTGGGGACTAGAATCTGTGTGTGTGTGTGTGTGTGTGTGTGTGTGTGTGTGTGTGTGTGTGTGTGTGTGTGTGTGTGTGTGTGTGTGTGTGTGTGTGTGTGTCTGTGTGTGTGTGATGGAGGTAATTTGGGGGGTTGGAACTAATAATACGGGGGACCTTGGATCATGTGGTTCAGCTTTATTATTGGGCAGAAAAGGAAACTGAGGTAGTTCACAGTGGGGAGTTAAGACCAGGTTTTGGAGGGTCTTGGCAACTGGCTGAGAAATAAATGACTTTTCCATGACACTGGCTACAAGTGACAGACTCTCTTGGCCACACAGGGTATAAGTTCCAGTTTGGCCGCACTTATGGGCATCTCACCCATGATGCTCTGGGCCTCAGCAACCTCCAGAAGCAGCTCGTGGCATAGGTACCTGGACTTCAAGTTCTCTCTTCCCTTTTCATCTATCCCAGCCATCCTTTTGGAAGGAAGAGAGATGGGCTGGAGGGTGGGGGGAGACACAAAGAGAAAATGGTTTGGAGGCCAAGCACCTTTTTTATTAATAGGTGTAATAAATAAATAAATAAATACATAAACAGAAGCCTGGGCTCCTCCTCCCTCTTCTGACCACCAGGCTTTGGCCACAGCCTATTTACAGCTGGGGCTTAGGAACCTGGCCCTAACACTGTCACCCATCCTCCTCACCACCTGGCCCAGGGAACCCCACAAATGGGCCTCTGGTCACCGCTGTCCATAGGGACATGCTTGTCAGTACCCATGGAAGGGGCTGGCCCAGATGGTCAGGGGAAATCCTGGCAGCCCAGTGCTGCGTCCCTTCCCTCCTTTCCTGGTGGAGGGCTGGACGAAGTCGCTGGGACAGTCAAGGGGGCATAATTAATACTGAGCACAGGGATGTGTGGCCCCAGTTCTCAGTCTGCTCTCTGTAGCCAAGCCAGAGGGCTTGGGAAGGGCTCTCAGCCTCTGAGTCTGGGGGTTAGGAGGGTCCCTGAGGCCATCGGCATGCACAGGACCTCAGTTCTGGCTGCTTCCAGGAGTTGGAGTTGGGGTCAAGGTCACGTAGGCCAGAGGCACCAGGCCGGTGTCAGGGCCGCGGCTGCAGCTCAGCCAGTCTCCTCCGGCTGGCCCCAGCACCCGTAGGATATCTCCCTTGCGGAAGCTTAGCTGTCCAGGGCCTGTGGCCAGATGGTGGCACAGTGCCTTTACCTCACTGGGGAAACAACAAATGGAGGTCAGAGAAACCCCACCCAAAGCCAAACCCAGCCCCCAAATCCTTCTATCTCCCAGGGCTCACCATGGAGGCTTGGAGGGCAGGGCTGGAGAGAGTGGCTCCTGCAGGCTCTCCTTGGGCTCTGGTTCCCGGCGGGCACCCACCGTCTGCACCATTAGCTGGAACATGGACTTGTCCAGGCTCAGCCAGTCTGAGGGGAGCCTAGGGGATAGCAGCGGGGGCTCTGGCTCTGTCTGTGCCCTGGCTTAGATGAGGCTCCCCAACTCCCACTGTCTACACCATGGGCCGCCTCTCACCTGTTTGTGGGCCGGGCCTCCCGCTGAGACTTTCGGGACCCAAACAGGTGTCCCCACTTGATGCCCCCAGGTGAAGGCCCAGGGGCTCCTTCCTCACTTTCTGCTGGCGCGGCAGTGGGCCCCTCCCTTTCCCGACTGCGCCTCAGCTCAGCCAGCACAGAGTCAGGGGGGCTTCCCATCCAGAAGGGCCAGCCCCTGTCCCGGCCAAGGGTCTCCTCAGGGGCAGGGCAGGCCTCAGCTCCCTCCACTACTCCCTCTCGCGGGGGTGGCCCGCTGCCTCCTGCCCCTTTCTTTTTCTCACTGCTGCTATTGCTGCCACCACGGGGGAACCGAGACCCCTCAGTCGAGCCGTCGATGTAAACCTGGGAGCTCTGCATGAGCTGGTACCACCAGCCAGCCTGCCCCGCTCGGGCCCTGCCACGCCCCGAGCCCCCAGATGCCTCTGCCCCCTCTTCCATCTCCTCCTCGTCTTCTCCACCTTCTGGGGCACCGACACCCTTCACCCGCTCCCCGGGGGCTGCCCTGTCCACGTGTCCAGGGCCCTCCTGGCCCCGTGCCCGGGCCAACTGCAGCGTTGAGTGGGCGGACAGCAGCAGGTCCTGCGACACCCGCAGCAGCTCCTTGTGCTGCCGCTGCTGCTGCCCACTTTGCAGCAGCCGGTGCTGGAACAGTAAGTCGAGGCTGAAGGGCAGCAGGGCCAGCGGCTGTAGCAGCAGCAGCAGCTCTTCAAAGAGGCCAGGGCATACGGTATGTGCTGCACTCAGGAAGCCCCACGGCTGGTAGTGGGTCTGGATGATGTCTAGGGGAAAGAGAGGGACTGAGCCATACAGAGCAGCAGAGCCTGGCCTGAGGTGGGCCTCTGAAAGGCTACCCGGGCAGAGCCACTGCGCGTGCTGCACAGGTTGTGTACTGTGCCACTGAGCTGTACCACAGTGGAAACGGTGCCCCCTGAAGTCGTGCAGTGCGGCAACTCCACAACCGTAAGTGGTAGCCCCGAATTCAAAGGAGAGAGGCGTTGGGGTTCCTGGCCACCCTGACTTTCCGACTGCCTGTGTATCCTGCTGCCTGCAAGGCTCTAACACAAGTAGAAGCTGGGGGAGGACTTGGGTAGAAGCCCAAGTTTTGAGGATGAAAGCTTGTGTGGTTCCCCTCCCCACCTCAGCATCTGAAAAGACAGTCACACCTCCCTCTTTTGAACCTCCAAGGTCTGGCCTATGTTGAGTATGCAAGACAGGACAGGGTTCTGGATATTACCTTCGTGGTTATAGAGGTGATTAAACCAGAACTCCAGGGACCGGATGCTGTAGGGAGATAGGTGAAGAGAGGTGAGTCTTGTGTGGACATAGCCAGATGATAAGGTACAAAGGAGACAGGCACAAGGGTCAGACACGGGGCAGAGTACAGGTGAGCGTCTCCCTTCTATGGCAGGGATGCTATGTGTTCATTTCATGTAATATAGTCCTGGAAAGTCCGTGGGGATTATAAACATGTGATTCACAAGCCAATCACTTCCTCGTAGAATGGAGTTGACTTGCACAGGCTCCAGGAAGTCAGGGCAGCTACTGAGTGAGAGTACAGGGCCAAAGAGGATGACCTGGGCCCATACTTGAGTAAGAAGAATACTATGACATGGGTCCCAAGGGGGACTTGGGGGTCACACAGTATTTGGAAGCAGTGCTGGAATTGAGAGGGTCAGGGTTTACAGCATCCAGAGAAACTAAGGACCAGATTAACTTCCAAATAAGCCAGATGGTGGATTTGTAAAAACAGAAGACCATGTTGGTGTGAGTGCCCGAGGGTCATGGATGTGGTGAGAAACCAGTGACCAACTGAGCGGCTGTAGCCAGGTGGGGACAAAGGGAGCCCGGGCCCTGGCTGCAGATCTGCAGATCCCCCCTTTCTGTCTTAGTTCAGGGAGTGGCTTCCTCAGAGGCCACAGAGCCTGCCGGGGAGAAGGGCCGGTGGTTGGCAGGTCTGGCTGTACCACGCACTCACTTGAGCAGGCCGAGGATGAAGGCGTTGAAGCGCATGGTATGGCTGGTGAGCTCCGGGAACTGGCTGACTTTGTGGTAGAGGCTGTGCAGAGCCTTGGTGGATGGGCCTGGGAGGAAGCCAGAGCTGGAGGTCACATGCCTAATCTCTGGAACCCTAAATTCAGCCTGGGGCCCCCATTGTGACCCGGCACTTACCTAGCTGTGTGGAAGCCTCAACCACACTCCATGGCATGTTCTTCCGTTGCCCGATGATGACGTCTAACACAAAGGCCTTGAGTCCGTCCTCCAGCACAGCGCGGACCGCAGGGCACAAGTACTTCAGAACTAAGTGGCCTACATTGGGGCTCACAGAACTGTTCCCCAGCTTTGCCTGCAGATGCAGTAGGGAAGTACAGGAAGTCATTTGAAGCCTGACCTTGGTCCTCTCTGACTTAGTCAGTCCTCATGGTGCCTCTCTTGCGATCCCTGTCCCTAAGTACCAACTCTGGGTTCTAGATGCAAGACAGCAAGGGGAGGTGGTGGCACAGAATAGTGGAGGTCAGCAGTGTAGAGCTCAGCTCTCCAATTTCTTGCCTACCTTCACTCCAGGATCCCGGCTTGTTCCAAAATGGGCCACAATGAGGTCCACAGCAGTGTTAACAGCTTTCACCAGCCCTGTAAGTGAGAATTTGAAGTAATAGATTCCTGAGCAAGGCCCTGGGCAACTCAGCTGGGACTGAGCCCTCCGTGGGGAGAGGGACAGGTCTCCATACACACTCTCTTTGTCCCTGCACATGGGTCTCACCAAAGCACCAGGCCCCGGTCCTGTTTTAGCCCAGTCTCAAGCCCCTCCTGTTTTCATCTCCCACCTCAATGAGTCCATCGTCGAAACCCTTAGTGTCCTAACTTCTTTGTCCTCTTACTCTAATTCTGGATCAACCCAACTATCTATCTTCTCTACTCTGAGACACAAGGCTACTAGCTGCTGCTGGATGAAGTCCAGAGCCACTCACAGGTGACTGACTAGGGCACTCTCTGAGGTGTGCCACCCTCTGCTCTGCTCTCGAGTTGCCATGCCAAATCTTTACCCCTCTTTTCAAGCCCTTAGTTCTACTTCACACAGAAAACAGAGGCCAATGGTCATGAATTCCTACCGCTTCCTTCCCCATCCAAAAGACATACCTATATTATATCTCTCTTCCCTCCATCCTGCCTGGCCCCTCCTGCTCCCTTTCCATCTTGAAGGAAGATGGCTGTTCCCCTTCTTGCTCAAGGTCCTTCCCTCCTCCCTAAGTTCTGAGTCTCCCACTCTGCCTCTGCAAGGGACTTTAGTTTCATCTTTCTCTCTTTTCAAAGCTTCTTCCTTTCAGAATTGTGCTGTTTTCTTCCTGCCATCGCACTGAAACTGCTCTCTTAGTTCAGTGGTCCCTTATTTGCTAAGTAGAGTGGCTCCTTGTCAGTCCGTATCTTGCTAGGTGTTACCATCATGCTTACCCAAGCTGCTAGGCTCTAGAGTACTTGAACTCCCCCTGTTAGAGCGCATGGGCATTTATTTATGACCTGCAGGCTCCCTCACTATACTTAGCTCCCTGAGGGAAGAGACGGAAGCCTCATTCCTAAGCATCTGAGGAATGACCCTTGCACACTTGCACATACTCCCGGTACACAGCACACAGACTTCTTGCCCCAACGCCTGTTCTAATTCCTTCCTGGCTCTGAGAGTTCTAAGGCAGGGAAATGTTCTGGAGGGCCAGAGAGGAGGGCGACAGGCACAAACAGGTAGTAACAACAGAACTCCTGCCCTGAGCTCAGGGGAATATCTACCTTTTTTCTGAAGCACATCAATTGAAATGGCTTCTGAGTTGCCATCTGGGGACAGACAAAACTCAGCTGGAGGCTTCTCAGTCAAGGAAAAGGGGTCTTGGAAGTCAGGGCAGGTCAGTGGTAATGGCTTCACTACTTGACCTGGAAAGAAGAGAAAAATCAATCCAAGCAACTCCCTTCCCATGAGCTGCAGCTCAGTTCTGTTCCTCAAACTCTCTGAGACATGTTCCTTTGGGACTGACCCCTTCTCTAACCCTTCCCAGCTGTG